TTTTCATTTGGATTGCTTGTTAAATCAGAATGATTTGGTGGAATTTGAAATAATATTGTGGCCTAGAATGCTATTATTCACTTATAAATATGAAATGAGATGAAATCTGCTTTGATTTGAGGTACTTGAGACAATTGTATAGAGGCTGGAAATTTTTACAATTACGAGAAGGACTTTGTCTCTTGTTCCTCTGATTGATGTTGTCCACTTTAAGAAATATGTATGATGAATCAGAAAAGTTCCTATTTTTGGTGAACAATTTTTGATTTTATAAGTTCATTATTAATAGTAGATTTCAGTTTTAAAGTACAGTGTAAAGCAAGTTTGGAGTTTTAAAGTTTAATGTTCTGGGGAATTAGCCTAGCAAATATGTTAGTGGAATATACAGGATTGAGCAGAATATTCTAGAAAATATTCTGGAAATTTTCTGACACAAATATCCTATTTGCAAAGGACATTTACAAAAAATATTCTGTAAAAACCATAATACTTATCTGTACATTAAGCTGCTAAGTTGATAGACAGGTAGCTAGCAAGAGATGTAGGTAGTGCATAAGAGATAATACTTGACTCACTTTCAAACTTGGTAAGTTATATTGATTCCTTGGAATAATTTCACTTGAGAGGTCTCTTAGGAAACATGTTACATTATGGAAAATGTGATTCTAAGTGATTCAGTTGAGTACAGGAGTCTGGACTCATCCAAATCATTAATATAAAATTAATTTATTTTATATATCTCAAAGAAGTTTCTTTTTATCTCAAGGAGAAGAGATACTTGAGGTTTTTTTTTAAAAAAACAACAAAGACTTAAATGTGTGTGTGTGTGTGTGTGTGTGTGTGTATGAAGAAAGCTACAAAACTACAGGTAGTTGGCAAAAGACTCTGCAGTCTATAGATGAAAAAGTCATTCTTCCTTGCCCCATTCCATTTGTTATTAGATGTACTGCAATTATGTCTTGCATTCATATACAGAAGAAAAATAAATCCATTTCAAGTTTTCTTTCAGTTGCAGCTTTAATCTGAGTTCATCTTCACATCAGTTTACAAAAGAAAAGTTGGCATAAAAATACCCCCTTAATGTCCTTTTTGCCACAAATATACATTTATCTGCTCTTTTTCCAATGTGTATTTGGTTCTTATATTCATATTTTTGTGTACACTGTTCCTTAGCACAATGAGGGTTTTCTTTTGCATGCAGGGAAAAAAAATTACAACTGTGTTGATATTTTTTAAACGTGCATCCTTTCATAATATGCCCATTCAGAATCATCTTTTTAAGTAGGAAGGATATGAATTTGGTCAATTTGTATACAAAAATTACCTAGGATGATTTTTTCCCTTCCTATATCTAATTCTAAATGTGGACTTTATCATACAGGTCTTGGGAACTTGGACCAATTTGTTCATTTGAATGAAAATAGAAATAATTTAATCATATTGCCTAATACTTGAAGTCATTCCTAATAGTTGCTGATATTCCCAGACAGATGCAAAGTAGATAAATAACTAGCTAGAGAGATGGTGGATATTTAATCTATTATTGTTAAATAATGAGAGATTCACTGCAGGCAAATAAATATTTACAATCTCAGTAAATTTGTACTTATTCATGAATATGAATGTGTTTGTTACTTCATTGCTTTCAGCATTATTGAGATGTTCAAAATAGTAGAATCTTATGGGTATATCTTTACTACAACTAAGATAAAAAATTATATTTTCATGGCTTATGGACAATTTTTTGTTCAAGATCTGTGATACTCACTTTTTACCCAGCTACAATTTCCATTGGTTTCTGCAAATTGAATTTAAATCTGAACTAGAAAAGCATTTTTAATTCTGTTTGTGTGTTTCCTGTGCTGAGCTGCAATTTGATAGCATCTTTATACCTTATAGGTGTAAGATAGGGCAGATAGGGCAGTTTTGTGCTATTCATTCATCTACATAACTTTCAAAATATACAGGTAAACCTCAACTTACTACAGTTCACTTAGTGACTGTTTGAAATTACAACAGCACTGAAAGATGTGGACTTATGACAGTTTTTCACACTTAAGACCACTGCAGCATCCCCATGATGATGATTACATTCGAATGTTTGACAACCAATCCACATTTATGACAGTTGCAGTGCCCCGGGGTCAAATCACCTTTTACAACCTTCTGACAAGCAAAGTCAATTGGGAAGCCAGATTAACAACTGCGTGACTAATTTAACAACTGCAGTGATTCACTTAACAATCATAACAAGAAAAGTTGTAAAATGGGGCAAAACTCACTTAACAAATTTCTCACTGAGCAACATAAATTTTGGGCTCAGTTGTGATTGTAAGTTAGGGGCTACCTGTACACCAGCATGACTTTATTCAAATTACATTTTTTTGCCAATTGTTAACACATTATTTCCTGAATTATTTTTAACTTAAAATAAATTTATGCCATTGAGAAATTTTCTTAGGTAAGCGATGTGTTTTAGATGAGTGATGTGTTTTAGATGAGTGATGTGATTTATTTTTATGGAAATATTTTGCTTCACATTCATAGTTTCCGTATAATTCATGCAGAAGGCAATCATTTGTCTAACAAGTTACTCTCTGATTTGATCACACAGCTGCAGTCTGTGATTGTGACTGCTGTTTTAAAGATTATTGTTCTTTCTGGCTTGCCAGTATTTATCTTGTTACTGAATTCCTAGTTTCACAGGATCTGCTAAATTGTAGCCTAATGATCCGTTTCAAACGCCCTACTTCTTCAGATGACTAATTAACTCTGTCCCACAAATGATTTAGAAAAAAATTCCTTCCGGACTATGAAACGTATAACATTCTGAAATGAAAATTACATCTTAGTGTCAAATTATTATGAATCTCCCCTTTTCTCTTCTTTCATCTAGAATCTGCTTCTTCTGGAATTATATACTTTGGGCTTAATGCATAGCATGATTCCTTTTTATTGTTCCTAATTGTATGTAAGCAGAGGAAGGCTTATTTCTTTGATCTCCAGCATACTTGAATTAAAACAACACCCATGGCTGATCTTGAAAGGGGCTATCCAGCTCTTGTTAGAAAATTCTCTACTGACTGGTTCCCCTTATATTTTACTCCTCTTGCATCAAGGCCAATTTCATCTATTATGTTATAATGGTGCATTTCACCACACAATTCACCATCTACCAAGCAATAGATGGAGACATGCCAAGTCATTTTTATTTTGCAAAACTTTGATAGTGATCACTGAAAGCAGACTGTAGTTTTATACCATGGAAGTTTCTCACATAGAAGTGAGAAACATGAAAATTCTAAGTACATCTAAAACAAGCCTTAGTGTCCAAATAACTGTCAAAATCCCTAACAATTAATTTAAAAACAAAAACCCACATCCTGTGAAGAGCTAAATCCTGAGAAAAGGGGATGGATAGCAATAGCACTTAGACTTATATACTGCTTTACAGGTTTTACAGCCCTCTCTAAGCAGTTTACAGAGTCAGCATATTGTTCCCAACAATTTGGGTCCTCATTTTACCCACCTCGGAAGGATGGGAGGCTGAGTCAACCTTGAACCTGGTGAGATTTGAACTGCCAAATTGCAGGCAGCTGGCAGTCAGCAGAAGTTGCCTGCAGTACTGCACTCTAATCGCTGTGCCACCATGGTTCATTTTCCTCAGTATTATCTCACATTAGCTTCAGGGATATACCAGAAGTGCTGAATAGGTATAGTTCCAGGCCTAAAGAGAACCTGGGAGAGGTACTATTGTAATTGCCTTCCTCTGACCTCATCTCTCTCCTATTTTGATTTTGTATTAATAATGATAATCGTTTCTCATTTTCATTCTATACAACAATGACACCTTTTGGATTTTTAAATTTCCACCAGCCAATCTGCATTATAACAGTATTGAATTACTGGTCACTTAGTCAAATTTGCAGATGTCACAACACAAGTAATTTTAAATAAAATATTTTTACATGGGATAAAGTACAGATCCCTTAGCTAACCATATACTATTTTGGGGAATAGCCTATGAAAATACCTGAGCGGAGATCAATGCACCCCATACCCCCGTTTCAAATTGGTGGCATGCTCTCAAGGGCAGTATCAGATTAACTTCAGAAGTTTCTAATAACACAACTCTTCTGCTTAAATAGTTGTATGGTGAAGTATTTCACGAGAAGAGTACTCCACTTCTTTGCTCACAATAGAATCCCTTATGCCACCAGGCTTGAAATTTTGGCCTTGGACAACCTGGAACTACGCTACCTATGGTCTCACCTAAGCATAGTACACAAAATTATCTGCTATAATGTCTTACCTGTCAACGACTGCTTCAACTTCAACCTCAATAACGCATGGGCAAACAATAGATACAAACTCAAGGTAAATTGCTCCAAACTCAGTTGCAGAAAATACGACTTTAGCAACAGAGTGGTCAATGCCTGGAATGCTCTACCTGACCCTGTTGTTACATTCTCAAGCCCCACAGTTTCAACCTTGAACTTTCTACCATGGACCTCACCCCATTTCTAAGACATCCATAAAGGGGGGGGGGGAAATAAGCGCACCAGGGTGCCTACCATCCTGTCCTACTGTCCCCATTTATTTGTACCCGTTTTCTTTGTTCATGTCCATGTATACTTATACTTGTTATCTTGTACATGTTTGACAAACTAAATAAATGAATAATAAATAAATAAAGTTGGTTGGCTCCACATGAATGTTATTCTGTAGCAGTTACTGCTACACAAGAGACAGTAGGTTTTGACAATAGAAATATTTTGTTTTGAATAGAATAATAGAGTTGGAGGTGTTCTGGGCCAACCCCCTGCTTAGGTAAGAAACCCTTCACCAATTCAGACAAATGGATATCCAACATTTTCTTAAAAACGTCCAATGTTGGAGCATTTACAACTTCTGGGGGTGAGTTATTCCATTGGTTAATTGTTCTAACTGTCAGGAAATTTCTCTTTAGTTCTAGCTTGCTTCTCTCCTTAATTAGCTTCCACCCATTGCTTCTTATCCTACCCTCAGGTACTTTGGAGACTAGCTTGACTTCCTCTTCTTTATGGCAGACCCTGAAATGGTCAGATTTAAAATTCATCAGGATAGAATAAAGTTAGAATCGTGAATTATTGAATCAGGAATATAAAGAGAGAGTTGCTAAATCTGATAACATGCTCATTTATTCCAATGTTCTGCAGGTTAATCAGATGTGCATAAAAAGCTCATATAACAACTTTTTTGCCTATAGTTTACTTTCCTCAAGTAAAGTATTCATGAAGAATATGGAGTATTTATGGAGTATTGAGTGTTCATGGACATATTTATGTAGACTTTATAATGGGATAATATATAACTTATTATTTCAATCCACTTTTATTCAAGGGTTATTTAGGGAAAATAAATTATTGTGTTAACAACTGCTTTTATCTTATCGGTTTCTAATATCTAAAAGCATGTATTCTTGGCTACCGCTAATCCAAAAATGTTCACATGATTGTGAAAAACCAGGTATTACTAAGATAATTTTCAAGAATATTATATAAAAATTATGTCTGCCCATTAAAATTAGTTCATATTCTTATTTCAAAAATTATTTATTAGAAAAATTATTTCTTATTAATATAGACATTTATAATGAATTATTGGATTATTATATTTTATATTTTTTATACTTCAAAGGGAACAATTAATAAATTTACAATGTAATGGGAATTATAATTTTACTAAAATTGATTCTATTAAAACAGAATTTCTTCTTGAAAAATGATTATCTTCTATTTTTAAAGTGCTAAGAGCTATAATTAATTATAAACTCATTTTAGAAGATCCTATTTCATTAATTACATCCATACATTTAAAGTTTTTTTTCTAAAAAAAGCCAGATAACTAAAAATCGTATTATATAAATCAGTATATGAAAGTCACTAAAATTACTGCCATAGTTAAAGTTTGTTAACCACTAATAAACTTAAAATGCATCAGGTAACTTTATAATTAATGCAAGTGAATTAATCTTAAAGCACCAAATCATTATGTGCTGTTAATTTTAACAAAATTCTATCAAAATATAAATTAAGGAATAATGCTTCATTTTTTAATGTGCCAATATTTTATTTTATTTCCACAATTTTAATAAAATATTTTATTATCCAGAATAAAAGGGACATATTATTGCAACATTAAATTAAGGATACCCTGCTTGAGGATACCCTCCCCTTTCAGAACATAAAGGGGAAGGGGGAAATCTTCCTTGCACTTTCAAGACCTCATCCAGGTCTGATGTCCAAAAAAGCAAAAAGGGAAACAATCTTGTAGTTTGTTTTAGGCAGATCAAAGGAGGCTTCATATCAAAAGCTTTTCTGGTCCTACGACGTGCCTCCAAAATTATTGGCGACAGAAATAGATTTGGAGCAATATAATTATAATGTTCTTTTGGCTGAGGCAAAGAAGCAACTAAATCTCACAATCTCAATTTTGTAAACTTCCTCTACATGTTCATTCTCCATACAGAGATATCCATGGAGAAACTGTGTGTACTGACAGAATCTCTTCTAGGGATAGCAAGCAATGGAAAAGGCTGCTAAATATTGGAAGAGGCTGTGATAAGCATAGGAAATCAGAGTAATGAGCTGATTAGTATTAATCCATTTTGGGGGGGCTAATCTAAACTACACAAGTAATTTACAGGGACTTATTTTATAATTCTGTTAATAACCCAAACTACAATTCTATACCTTCATGTACCCAACTATAAGCCTTTATGAATTCAGTGATCTTACATTAGAGAAGACTTGTGTAGGAGTGCAAGGTACATTTGTGTTGTCATTGAATTACTAGAAATTATCTAATCAATGTCAAGTGTAACTGGCATATTTTCTTAACTATTGTCAATGGTTTTCAAGTATCTTTGTTGAAATCATGCCTGCTGTGTGTAACATAATACATAATGTTGTAATAGAACATGTAATTATTAGCTTGGTTCCAAAATGTTATACATACAGTATAATCTTATCTAAATCCATACAATATATACATGTAAGTTTCCATGTAACAGAAGTTACATGGAATATATACATGTAAGTTTCCATGTAACAGAAGTTGAAGAACGGGGCTAGTACATGGATTTAATACTTGGGTGTCATGTAACATAATATTTAGTAATTGTTAGTAACTAGAGCTCTCCCTTCATACTGAGCCAACTCTCACTAAATTGTTTTGTGTGAGCAAGGGTGAGGGCTTGCTTTTTATCCTTTCTGGAGCATCATTAGAACTGTCCTGGAAGAAAACTTTTCTTGTACAAATTGTCCTAAGTATTCGTTTATATTCTCGACGGAAGTTCTGATTTAGAAGTCCATAAATGATAGCATTAAGGCAACTATTGAAGTACGCCATGTAGTAGCTGGAAACAAACAGCCATTCTGGGATCTTGGAAATTATCATTTCTGGACTGACAGCCACTGCAAGGCCGATGAGATTCAATGGAGCCCAGCAGACTGCAAACAGTACAAAGACTACAAACATGGTGATAAAGTTTCTGAAATCATATGACTTTAGTTTAGGTTTGTAGTCAGGTTTAACTCTTCGCCGTACCTGGATAACGAGGATCCATATTCTCAGGTAACAAAATGTTACTATGGTTATTGGAAGCAAGAAATGAAAAAAGACCACTGCTATAGTGTATGTGGAACTCACTGACTGAGAGAAAGTACATGAATAAATCCTAGCATCATACTGAAGGGATCCAACAAAAAAGTTTGGCACAATGGCAACAAAAGTCAAAGTCCAGATTAGAATGACACAGCAAACAGAATTCTTTTCACTGTACAACTTGTTGTACTTGAGGCTGTGGCAGATGTAGCAATATCGATTAATAGCAATGCCAGTAATGTTGAAAATAGATCCAATCACACTCAGGCCCATAAGAAATCCACTGAGTTGGCAGTGTATATATCCAAGGTTCCAGCCATTATGAAAGACAGATGTCAAGATCATAGGATATGGGTAGATAGCTACAATCAGATCAGCGATAGCTAAGTTGACCACAAAAACATTTCCTGAAAAATAAGCATAATATATTAGTAAATAACTTATAGTATTTTTTAAACACAAAGTTACATATAAGTTGAATTGAAGATCAAATTATGATTTTATGTGCATGTATACATTCATTTATCTCATGAAAAATTTATTCTGAATTCAACCCATCAGTCATAATTCTGACCATAATAAAATGTTTGATACAAGAAAAGAGAGTGTGTGAGAGAGAGAGAGAGAGAGAGAGAGAGAGGGATGGATGGTAGAAACTATAGGTGATTAATGCAAGTAAGACACGGTAAATTATTTGAGAGTATTATAAAGACTATGTAAGATTATTATTATATACATGCATTGTTTCATTCAGTAGAAGGTTTTGGAAAAATATTTCCAAATCTGCATTTGTACACACACACACACACACACACACACACACACACAATGTCTCAACTTTTTCAAAATAAATAAACTTCAAGTTTATGAAAAAACTATCAAGTTGGATAACAGCATAACAATGATGCTGAAATGTCTACAATCACACAGAAAGTATTTGTGTGAGATGCAAGACAAAACTATTTTTTTTAAAAAAGGTATAAAAAAGTCTTTAGTTTCTTTAGAAAGAAAACTATATTGGGATAAATTACAAAATCTAATTCTTGAAAATTCACTAAACGAATGGATAAAAATTCACTCCTGCTGAGATAGGCAGGAAATGGGATAAAACTTATACTATTCTAACTACTTGGACACATGTATTGAAAGCTGTATTAATATGAAAATAAAATAATAGGCGTAGACATTCAGGATTACAAAGCCATTACCATAGTTTCTCATTTTGCTTTAATAATTCTAGACCTAGTTAAATTTGGATGAACAGACATCCAATCTTTAGGGCACATGAAAGTTGAAGGAAAATAAAAATATTGTCAGAAATATTACATTCTTTTCACAATTCTTACATCTCCTGCAAATTCTATATATAAACCTACATTAAGTATATGTATAAAAAATCCTGTGCATATTAAATGGTAATTCATAAAGACCAATGGGAATTACTTCTAGTAGTGCAGGTGGCTATATAAAAGGATGTGACGCGCTTTAAATTCAAAGTGTTCATTTCAGCAGAAAGCACGGGTACTTCAACATATCTGTCCATCTAAAAATAGGCCATATATTTTATATTATTAGTAATTTTCACATTGATCTATTTTAGCATCTTAGCTAAGAGAATTCTGGGAGCAGCTGTCACATTTGTGGACTGCCTTAGCCAATTGACTCTATTTAGGAGATACAAGCAAGCTTTGTCAATTAAACAATTGATCCAGATAGGCATTTAAAAACCAGGAACCCTACAACAGTGCTCAGTAAAGAATCCCATTCCCAAATGGGATGCTTAGTGCTTGAACCAAGCTGAAACTGTGATAAAACCATCAGTTGATACTTTTGTATGTAATCTAAGGTATTATGATTTGTGATTGTGTTATAGTCAGTGATTGTGATTATAAGTGATTGCATTATATTGATTTGTGATTTCAGTTATAGCCAGAACAATCTTGTAACTATTAGTAAATAAACCAATTCCTGAACTGTCTTTGCAAAGGCATTTTTTTGAAACAGTCCACATTTTAGTTTAATTTTGTTTAGTTCATGCTTGCCTTTGTTAATTCAACAAAGTGGATGCCAATCTGCCTTCAGTGAACTGTTGGGCAAGGATTCATTCTCAAAACTACATTTTCTAAGGAATTGCAAGACTTTACAGTGTTATAATTTGGACACTTGAAGGGATAAGAATCTTATGGTTCTATCAAAGTTCTTATCTTAATACAGCAGACTGAAATGGAACATGAAGAGAATAATTAGGCAATATTATCTTCTGCAATGTTCAGCAAGCATTTAGCATTTTACAAATGTCACATTTTATTGTTGAATAATACATATTTGCCTTTGTAGTAATTCTCAGAATTAGTGTTATGCTTCCATTTATAAGTGCCTATTACATTGATCGGAGTGCAAGAAGTATATTGAAAAAGATGAGGTAACTAAGTGCTAGGTTATTTCAGATGCAGGTAAGATACACTTTATCTGATTTTAATGATAGTACACAAAACCCATTTATACTAGAAGTACAAAAGATTTGTTTAGATTGTGCACAAATTAAATGGCTCTGTACTAGTGTTGAATCAAGGCTTCCTGTTTGAATTGTATTTTAAACTGTGTAATATTAATAGATATAATGACTAGGGATGCATTTGTTTATATATAAATATATATAATCCCAGTAAGGGTATGGCTAGCTGATGAGAGCTAAATAGCTTGAAATAGATCTATACTAGTCTCCCTTTATTTATTTATCAGCACAAATACAACACAAAATGTAACAAAGGCAACAGTAAAAATATTGGGTCTCTGTCTGGATGGTCTCTTGTGTCGAGCCGATGGACAGAGAATGGAAGTAGTGAACTTCCTCCCATATTTGGGCATACCAGGGGTTGTAACAGGTCTTGTTGTATTTGGGTCTTTTCCCGTGTAAAATTGAGATTATCTTGGCAAGGTTTCAGCAAGATCTCACTTGCCATCTTCAGGCTGGGTTTTGGGTTCAGAGAAAGTACTAGAAATTTCAGAGGAGATGTACGTACATACATACATACATACATACATACATACATACATACTTGGCTGTGTGTGTATGTTCCAGCATAACTCTGGAAAACCTTGAGCAATTTCAACCAAACTTAATCTCTTGAAAAAAACACTGTGGGGGTAAGACACCTGTAATAGCAATAGCAATAGCAGTAGACTTATATACCGCTTCATAGGCCTTTCAGGCCTCTCTAAGCGGTTTACAGAGAGTCAGCATATTGCCCCCAACAATCTGGGTCCTCATTTTACCCACCTCGGAAGGATGGAAGGCTGAGTCAACCCTGAGCCGGTGAGATTTGAACCGCTGACCTGCTGATCTAGCAGTAGCCTGCAGTGCTGCTTTTAACCACTGCGCCACCTTGGCTCTTAATACCCTTCGGATGTATGTTTTGTTAAGATACAGCCTGTGTACCTTAAAATGACTTCTACTGTATTGCCATAAAAGTGCTTCGATTGTACAGCACAGTGGAGTTGCCATAGTAATGGCTTCACAGTACTCCACAAGGGGGTTCCCTCTGGTAAGGGGAAAAATCCAACATTAGAAATTATGTTTGGCCTGGGCATTTCACCCCTATAAATAAATACCCAGGCAACGCTGGGTTATCAGCTAGTTGTATATATTTAAAAAATGCTTTTAAAACTTCTATATTTGAATATAAATTCTGTTCTAGTAGAGAAATTAATCTTCAATCTCTCTGAAAATTTCCTCTGAAATTTCTAATACTTTCTCTGGCATTAATTCAATGAATGATTTTTTTCAGAAGGATTCTTATGGCTTTATTAAATTTTAATTGATATTCGTAACATATTTTTAAAGTATTAAAGAGCTTTGAGTCATACATTACATTTTTTGCCACAGTTTTTTTTTTACAAACAATAAATTACAATAAATTATAATATTTACTACTTGCCAAGGCATATTCATTTGAGTGATAACTAATTTCTGGCAACCATCTCAAGTTCTCATTTCTCAAATGAAGTGAAATCTGAAGCATTTGGATGCTTTAATCAGATCAAAATATAGCTTTACTAATTTTTAAAAAACCATGGGTACATAGATTTCAGGTTTGTCATCAGCTAGCTAGCTAGATGATAGATGATAGATAGATGATAGATGGAGCCTTTAAGCCAGTGTTAACTCCTGGTGATTAACTAAGATTTTTTGGCAAGATTTTCAGAAATGGTTTGCCATTGCCTGCTTCCAAGGGCTGAGAGAAAGTGACTGGGAAAGAGAAAGAAAATCCAGCTGACTTCATGTCTAAGGCAGAACTCAAATTCACAGATTCCTGATTTTTATTTTGATACCTTAGTGGCTCTGTAGAATGTATTAGTTAAAATCAATTTAGAAATGCCTTAAATAGTTCATTTGCAAATGCACACACACACACACACAGAACAAATATCACTGGGTTAAGTAACATTTATTTTCTAATAGCTATATATGCTAAAAACTTGTCTTTTTAAAATGAAAACTATAGTATACGATCGGAATACATTATTTGCACACATCAACTCAAACCACCAATAGATTACTATAGACACATTGAATCACTGTAGCACATAAGTCAACTAAAGCTGTCCAAAACATCCTAAGTAAATCAAAAGACCAGCAGCCCCAGAATGAAAACATCTATAATCTACACAGGTCAAACAGGCAAAAAACTGGCAGAATGCATCCATGAACACAAACCAGCAGTCACTAGTCATGATGAAAACTTACAACATATGGGAAGACTCAGCCATAGTTTCAGAAAACTCTGATCATACTTTTGCTACAAACTGTGCAAAAGAGACAATCAACAAGGGAACAAAAAGACCATAACATCTCCTCATCAGCAATCAATGCCCAGATGAGCATAGATTAATTCCAAGATTAACATCAATCCCACCAACGCTGACAGGGAAAGCCACTAGAACAGGGGTGTCAAACTGGCATCCCACAGGCTGGATGCATCATGCCTACCCCAGGAAAAAACCATCATGATACATCACATGATGGTAATGTGACATGGCACGTTTGACACCCATGCACTAGAATATAAACTGAGAGTAACCTCCACACTTTAATAGCATTGGGTAATGAAACATCTGCAAGAAAACAACCAAGCTCAGAGCATTTATTTGCACACATTTTATATTTATGAACACATAAAATTGAACACTGGTATAAAACCAAAATCCTATGAAAGAAGTTCAGATTTAATATTTGAAGTAATTCACCTGGATAGTGAATGATTACCTAGAATCATAATTTATATAACCTTCTCTTTTCAGTGTTTCCTCTTACAGAGTTCAGTTTTATCAATATGACTATAAAGATTGTCAGGTATGGACACATAGAATCTTTGTTATATGGAGCTGATATTTGAGGAAGTCATTTGGTTATTTTAAAATCAATGACATAAGTCACAAGCAATTTATATTGTCCACGTAGTCAAGGTCTTTCCTAAAATGTGATGCCTAAAATTGGATACCAATACTAGTTGTATAATAGAACATAGAATAGAAATAATACTTGACTCGACTCTATGATTACCCCAATGATTAAGATTGAATTTTATCACAATGTTGTGATATCTAGAACATTTTGCATGTCTTAGTATACAATATAGGTCCTTCTATCATATAGTCATATAGTTAAACCACTTCCTAACTAAGAGTTACAGATTTAGACATTTAGGCTGGTAGCAATAAATATGAATAAAATACTATTAAAAATATCCTAATGTGAAAAAAATTTTTTTTAACAAAAGTAACTTTGATGAATTAATTACAGTATTTCTACAGCAGAACACACTGGCCAGTTAAAAGAACCATCTGAGGACCCAGATTGTTGGGGGCAATATGCTGACTCTCTGTAAACCGCTTAGAGAGGCCTGAAAGGCCTAT